ACACATACACACCAGGGCATATTGTAGAACGTGCCGGGCCTTTCAAAGCCTAGGCTTAGAACCAGCACCAGCATAATGTCTACTGGACTTCAGTAGTCAGAGCAGGTTACAAGCCCAGCCCAGATCATTGAAATCCAAACCAAGCTCACTGTCATCGAGTCCGTTCTGGCTCAGAGCAGCCTTCCAATGCCAAGCAGAACTGCTGTGGGGGGTTTCTGAGATGGTACATTTTGAAGGAGTAGAAAGCCTCATCTTTCTCCTGCAGAACTGCAGGTGGTGTTGAACTGCAACCCCATGTCCATTATGCCAGCGCAGCTCTTAGGGAAGGGATATTGGACTCTATGTGTTGATGGATGAGTACGTGCACAGGGAGGAAAGGAACGGGGTAGTCATCTTTGAGAACAACTTACCATGTTATCCCAGGATCCCAGGCTTTACAAATAGGGTCCCTGTCAATAAGTACTTACTGGAAGGTTTCTAGGGATCAGACCCTGGTCATGTACTGATCACCACAGTGCCTGAAATGTCAGACAAGAGCACCACCCTAATGAAGTTGGATGCTTCCTAAGAGAAGCCCTTTAGCTCCAGCTGGCATCTGGCCACCTCCCATGGTGAGGTACTGGAAGCTGATTGAAGGGGGATTTTTGAGCAAGGTTAATAACTGTCTCCCTGGCTCCCTTCTAGATTCCATGGATGGTGAGGGTGATTGGAGTCTCTGGTCTGGCTGCAGTGTTACCTGTGGGAACGGCAACCAGAAACGGACCCGGTCTTGTGGCTATGCATGTACTGCGACAGAATCGAGAACATGTGACTATCCAAACTGCCCAGGTGGGTATACGCAAGGGTGCAGCTCTAAGTTCAAGAGAAAGCTCTTAGTTTTTTTGTTTTATTTATTTATTTATTTATTTTTAAGTAATTTTATTGGGGGCTTGTACAACTCTTATCACAATCCATACACCCATCTATTGTGTGTCAAGCACATTCGCACATTTGTTGCTGGTCGGGGTACAGTGTAGCTACGATGAAACATACAACTTTTTTCTAGTTCCTAAATTCTTCCTCCTCCCACTCCCCCACTATCATGATCCCAATTCTACCTTACAAATCTGGCTAGACCAGAGGATGTACACTGGTACAGATAGGAACTGGAAACAGGGAATCCAGGATGGATGATCCCTTCAGGACCAGTGCTGAGAGTGGCCATACCGGGAGGGTGGAAGGATGGTGGGGTAGAAAGAGGAAACCAATTACAAGGATCTACATATAACCTCCTCCCTGGGGGACGGACAACAGAAAAGTGGGTGAAGGGAGATGTCGGACAGTGTAAGATATGACAAAATAATAATTTATAAATTATCATGGGTTCATGAGGGGGGGAGGAAGGGGGAAAATGAGGAGCTGATGCCCAGGGCTCAAGTAGAAAGCAAATGTTTTGAGAATGATGATGTCAACAAAGAAGGCTCTTAGTTTATGTCTAAAAATGATAAAATTTGACTTTTTGAATGACAGCCAAATAAGATTGGTAGGACTTCTGACCAAAATGAGACAACAAAGGACAATTAATGAACTAAAAGACTAAAGAGATGAATTTTCTGAATCTGATGCACAATTGGAGTAACCATGCCCTGGGGACAAGGCCACATAGTATTTGCTAAATGTAAAGGAAGATTTAAAAGAACGAACTGTTAATGTTGCCCCTTGATATGCATTTGTTTGTGTGTTGAAGAGGACATGAAACTAGACATTTGCATTCTAATAAGGAAACCAGGATGAGAGGCTTGACAACTGTCTACAGAAAAATCCCACAATTAATCCTGCCTCACATGCCTGAGAATTGCTCATGGCTCCCACGAGAAGAAACAGGGACAACTTAGCAAATTATTTCTTATTTTCTATTTCATTGTCAGTTAAAAAAAATAATTGCAAACGTGTTATACTGAGTATAAAAAAAAGTATAACTGTTTTTATCTAGGGCTGTCAATCTATCGCCCATTGGCTACATCTGACCCATGGCCTTTATTTGTGTGGCCCACACATTTTTCAAGAGTTGCCAGAAACAAAACCAAAAAAATAACAAATATGCAACTCAAACCCTAAAATATGTAGGACATGGCCCTTTACATTTGTTCCATGTTCCTCCTTGCCGGGGAAGGAGATCAGCCTAAAATAATATCATCGACTAGTCCAGGAAACTACATGAGTTCTGATGGCTTCATCTGAAGGACATTCCAGAATGAGAAATTTTGGCCCTCCACCTCGGGCTTCGTGTTTTACCCCTCACCCTCTATTTTCAAACTAGAAGACCAAAATTTGAAACTGAAAGGAAGGGCCAGAGTCAAGGAGCCCCTGAAGAAAAAGAGGGAGGGTTAGATTAGAAGGAGGGCACACGTTGCAGAAATGGCCTAGGTAGAAAGGGGGGGATAAGACGTGAGAAGTCAGTTCTCATGCAAAAAGATCTCAGAAATAGCGAAATGATCCAGGTGTTTTTCTGAACCCTTGCAGGCTTATCGTGAGTCTGCTGAGAGTCTCACGGGGGTCTGGAAGGGTAGGTAGGATTTGGATGGATAGAAATCAAACTGCCAACCAATTAATAAGCATGTTAGGAGAAGATAGAGGAAGACAAGGGAAAAAATTAAGACAGAGGAAAAGGAGAATATAAACATAAAGAGATGGAGTAGGAAATTTAAAAGTGAACTCTTAAGGAGATCATAAAGAATAAGACTTTGGAGGACTTGCATGTCAAGTACATGTCGGAGGTATCATTCCCTTTCACCCAGAGGGCCACCTCAGGAAATGGTATCATTGCTGTGGTATTGATTTGACAGCTGTGGATGCCCATCCACTGGAGATTAGCTTGCTTGGAGTCACTGTGGAATTTGAAGTCAGGATGATTCAGGGCCTCTCTTCACCTCTAAGCTGTTCCCCCTTCACCAAGAAGAATAGTGTCACTCCTCACCCACACAGGGACACTGAGAGCATTTCCTGCCCGGGTATCTGAGGTTTGCCTTGCATCCTCTTTGAGACCTGGCCGACCCAAGGTGGTGGGTTTACGTATTTTCTGGAAGAAGTTCTTCTCTGCCACCCTTGTGCATCTTTCCTTCTCCTTGTCTCTTACTACTAAGATCACTGAGGCCAGCTGCCAGAGCTTGCTCTTCTCTGTCCTTGCCCTCCTTCCCCCTCTATGGCTCTGCTCCTGGCGGCCCCAGCTTTCCAGGCCCCCTTGGAGCGGGAAGGGTTTACATGTGGGGGATCTTTTAACTTACTGAGTTTTGTTGAATCTCAACCCACCTGGAAAATATCAGGGAGTTTGCAGGGTCTTGCTGGCCTCTTGCTGGCAGATATTCCTCTGTAAAAAGCTTGTTCGCCCCGTGTAAGATATGACAGGATAATAATTTATAACTTATCAAGGGTTCATGAGGGAGGGGGGAGCGGGGATAGAGGGGGCAAAATGAAGAGCTGATGCCAAGGGCTTAAGTGGAGAGCAAATGTTTTGAGAATGATGAGGGCAATGAATGTACAAATGTGCTGTACACAATTGATGTCTGTATGGATTGTGGTAAGAGTTGTATGAGCCCCCAATAAAATAATTTTTAAAAAGCTTGTCCCCTATAATACCCCTCGAAATAGCTTAAAGCATCTTAAATAAAGTCAGAGAGGGCCTCTTAAAGGAAATCAAGTCATGCTCCACAGCAAGACTGAATTTCTCCAACAAAGGCCACCTTTCCTTTTAAAAAAAAATCATTTTATTGGGGGCTTGTACAATTCTTATCACAATCCATACATACATCTGTTGGTTCAAGCACATTTGTACATTTGTTGCCATCATCATTCTCAAAACATTTGCTTTCTACTTGAGCCCTTGGTATCAGCTTCTCATTTCCCCCCCACCCCTCCCTCCCCACTTCCCCCTCCTTCATGAACCCTTGATAATTTATAAATTATTACTTTGTCATATCTTGCACCATCCGATGTCTCCCTTCATCCCTTTTTCTGTTGTCCATCCCCCAGGGAGAAGAGTATATGTAGATCCTTGTAATTGGTTCCCTCTTTCTACCCCACTTTCCCTCCACCCTCCAGGTATCGCCACTCTCACCACTGGTCCGAAAGGGATCATCTGTACTGGTTTCCCTGTATTACCAGTTCCTATCTGTACCAGTGTATATCCTCTGGTCTAGCTGGATTTTTAAGGTAGAATTGGGATCATAATAGTGGGGGGGAGGAAGCATTTAAGAACTAGAGGAAAGTTGTATGTTTCATCATTGCTACCCTGTAACCTGACTGGCTTATTTCCTCCCTGCAACCCTTCAGTAAGGGTGTGTCCAGTTGCCTACAGATGGGCTTTGGGTCTCCACTCTGCATTCACTCTCATTTACAGTGATATGATTTTTTGTTCCTTGATGCCTGATACCTGATCTCTTCAATACCTCGTGGTCACACAGGATGGTGTGCTTCTTCCATGTGAACTTTGTTGCTTCTCAGCTAGATGGCTGCTTGTTTATCTTCAAGCCTTTAAAACCCCAGATGCTATATCTTTTGATAGCCGGGTACCATCAGCTTTCTTCACCACATTTGCTATGCACACATTTGTCTTCAGTGATCATATCGGGAAGGTGGGCACCCACTGATATGATTTTTTGTTCTTTGATGCCTGATACCTGATCCCTTCAACACCTCATGGCCACACAGGCTGGTGTGCTTCTTCCATGTGGGCTTTGATGCTTCTGAGCCAGATGGCTGCTTGTTTACCTGCAAGCCTTTAAGACCCCAGATGCTATCTGTATCTTTTGATAGCTTTCTTTACCACATTTGCTTATGCACACATCTGTCTTCAGCGATCGTGTTGGGAATGTGTGCATCATGGAATGCAAAGGCCACCTTTCCCATGAATCTTCCCACTTTGATTTAGTTCACACAGGATCCCTAGTCATCAAGAAGCCTGGTTGAGGTGGCAGTTTGACAGCAGGGGAAGATTTTGAAGCCAGTTGGATCTATTGCTCAGAGCAAGTAATGGAAAACCCACCTTACTCAATCTGGAGCATCATGGACAGTGTTAAACATCCTAGAACATGGAGTATCTGCTCTTTGCCTGTGGACTGCTGTATTCAGAAGGGCTAGACACATATCAGGGAGACAATATCAGCAGATACTGACCACTTACTGCTCAAAGTGCTTTGTTTATACAAAACTCATTTAATTCATTCGCCATCCCTATGACATGGATTGTTTTTGGCCTTCCCATTTCAGAGATGTGGAAACTGAGGTAGACAAAAAGAAGGAGCAAATTGTCTAGGGTTACAGGGCAAGTATGGTTTTGAACCTAAGTAGTCAGTCCCAAAATACAAGCCATTAACCACTGCACTCACCGATCTCTCATTGAAATCGTCACGGTGAAACCATTACACTGACCCTCTGTGATAGAGCCTGCATTGCCAAGACCTCATTGCCGGCTGAGTGAGTGAGCTCCTTAGGGCTCACTCAGGTATATTTGGGTGTGATTTTATGCTACAAATGGTATCCAGGGGGGTTCTATTTTTTTATGTTGTGTTACCTACTTTTTAATGTTTCCTTTGTTGGCAAGTTTCTGCCAGCGAATAGCAATAAATACAAAAAGTGGCTTTGTTCAGGTGTAGGGTTCTTTGGCGGGGGCGGGGTGTGGACTGACTTTTCCATATAACGAGAGAAAAACGAGCTTTTGTCTATGTGCAGGAATTGAAGACACCTTTAGGACAGCAGCCACTGAAGTGAGCCTACTTGCGGGAAGTGAGGAGTTTAATGCCACCAAACTGTTTGAAGTTGGTAAGAAGATTTTGTTTTTCGGTCTCCAAATATTGATTTAGTGCTGTGGAGACTCCTTTAGTCTTTGCAATGCAATCCTTGGAACCATTTAAAGGTTTGGTTTTTTTTCTGCTGGGGTCCAATTCGCTCAGCCTATTTCTTGCACACAGAGCGTACTCTAAGCTAGATGAGCAATCCCATTTCTTCTGTACCAGACAGGGCTGACTAACACGTCGGTGTCGATCCTATTGGCTGTGCCATCTCCTCAGTAATGAACAGGCAGGGCTCACTCCCTTCCACGAGAGATGAATCGCTCTAAGGGATGGGTACAAGCTGCTCTCGCAGATTTCAGAAGATGTTCCCAATGAATTTAAAAATTGATTTAGCCTATTTTTCACCAAATAGGAAATATTTAAATATTATGTCCCCCTTGAATTTTTCATAAACCATTGGAACTAGTCTGATATACAGTTGAGAACAAATACAAGTGAACACAGACCAAACAAAATTGAAAATGATTACTCAGGTGCAAGGCGAGACCTTGCCTTTTACAAAGAGCTTCAAGACTTCTGGATACAATGCTCTGTTGTAGTGGGATAAGACTGTCTTGTGAGGCCCGATGTTTTGCTACTCCAAAATTCTTTCTTAGGCTCTTCAGTTCTGCCCCACTGCCCAAGTTACAAATGATGGAGTACTGAGTTTTTGTTTTTGGTGATGGACCATTCACATTGATTAAGGGTAATGATTATACATTGGATTAATTTCACATATATCTACAAGCTGAACATTTGCTTTAAAAAACTTTACTTGGCAAATGTGTGTGTAATATACTATTTATAAAAACAAATAAAAAGCAGCTGCTATGGCTGCTTATGTACCAACATCTCATGAGATTTAGTTTCTCGGGTGGGAGTTTGGGGTCATAGTTTCATGGAACATTACAATTTGTTGACCTACCATCACGGTAGGCCACCAGTTCTACCCATTGGTTTGCTGTGTAGTGGCTGATGTCTTAAAAGCTTGAAAAGAGTGATCCAAGGTACAACAATTGGTTTATATTCACCTGGAGCAACTGAGGAAGAAGATTCGTAGAATAGTGAATAGTGGCAAATTGCCTCCTTTGTGGGATAAGATAACCTTACCATTCTCCCACAGAGCAGCTTGTAAGTTTGAACCACTAACCTGGGGATTTCAGTCTAATACCTTCCATTGGAAAAGGATGTCTGCCTTGAGCTCTTTTAAAGAGCTACCCCATAGCTCATCGGTCAGTTTTTCATACTGTAGTGGCTAGTGTACTGCTGTGATGCTGAAGCTATGCCACCAGTATTTCAAATGCCAGCAGGGTCACCCACAGTGAAAGGATTCCAGCAGAGTTTCCAGACTGAGACCAGACTGTGAAAAAGAGAGAGGCTGTCCACTCCTGAGAAACGAGCCACTGAGAAGCCTGTGGATAACATCAAAATATTGTTAGATACTGAATAGAAGCAGAACCATGTCAGAGGTCGTGCCAGAAGGTACTGAAGTATAACTGAGAAAGACCTGCTTTCTCAGCGTAGACTCAAACATATGACATAAATGGAATAAAATCTGTTGAGAGGAAAGTCTTGGAGTCTTCATTTGCTGATGCGGCACGGCTCAAAATGAGAAGCAGCAGCTCCCAAATTCTCTTAATAATCAGAACTTGGAATATACTAAGTATGAATCTAGGAAAATCAGAAGTAAGAAATGAAATAGAACACATAAAGCTCAATGCCCTAAGCATTAATGAGCTGAAATTGATTGGTATTGGCCATTTTGAATCAGAAAATCATATGTTTTACTATGTCAGAAATAACACAATCAAGAATAAGGGCACTGCATTCATCATCAAAAAGAACATTTCAAGAACTTTCTTGATGTACAATCCTCTCTGTGATGGGATTATATCTATTAGCATTTAAGGCTGTGGTTCCCAACCTGTGGGTCGCCACCCCTTTGGGGGTTTGAACGACCCTTTCACAAGGATCGCCCGATTCATCACAGTAGCAAAATTACAGTTATGAAGTAGCAACAAAAATAATTTTATGATTGGGGGGGAGGTTCACCACAACACAAGGAACTGTGTTAAAAGGTCATAGCATTAGGAAGGTTAAGAACCACTGCTTTAAGGAAACCCAACCAATGCAACTACTATTCAAATTTATGTAGCAACCATCAAAGCTGGTGATACAGATAGTGAAGAATTCTACCAATGACCTCAGTAAAAAATTGATCAAACATGCTTTCAGGATGCATTGACAGTTGCAAAAGTTGGGGGGGTGGGTTGAGGAGGAGGGAAGGAACAGTAGTTGGAAAATATGGGCTTGCTGATAGAAACTAAGCTGGAAATCACATGATAAAAGTTTGTAGGCCCAATGACTTATTCACAGCAAATATCCTTTTTAACAATACAAGTGGTCACTGTACACGTGCACTTCTCCAGATATAATATTTATTAGTCAACTTGACTACATCTGTGGGAAGGGATGATGGATAAGCTCAATCTTAGCTAAAACCAGGCCAGGGATTGACCGCAGGACAGACTCATGTAAGTTCAGATTGAAGCTGAAGAAAATTAAAACACGTCCACGAGAGCCAAAACACAACCTTGAATCTATCCCACCTGACTTTTGAGAACATCTCAAGAACAAGTTTGCAGTGCTGTGCGTGGATGACGGAAGATTGGATGGGCTAGGAGAAGACGTCAAGGACATCATTCAAGAAGAAAGCAAAAAGACTGGGGAAAAAGAAAACGTCAACGTGGGGGTCAGAAGAGAATCTAAAACTTGCTCTTAACCATCAAGTAACTAAAGCGCATGAAAGAGCTGAACAGAAAATTGCATGGGGAAGCTCAAGAAAATGAAGTCCTGTATGATTATGAAATGTCTGAAAATCTGGAGCTAGGAAAGCAAAAAGGAAAAACAGTCTTGGCATATCTTAAACTGAAGGAAAAAGGCAAGCTTGAGTTGCAACATTGAAAGAGTCTCAGGGCAAAATATTGAATGATGCCGGAAGCACCAGAAGAAGACAGAAAGAACACACAGTCACTGTACTCAAAAGAACTAGCCGGCACTGAACCATGCCAAGAGGCAGCATATGAGCAAAAACCAATGGGAAGGAAGGGGGAAGTTCAAGCTGCACTGAGAAAATTAGGCAAAAACAGTGTTTCAACAAGCTGATGATGTTGGAAAGGGCTCACTTGCCTCTGCCAGGAACTTTAGGAGACAGCTTCTTGGCCAGTTGGCTAGAAGAGACCCTTATCTGTGTCCATTCCAAGGAGAGGTGACCCAATAGAATGCTCAAATTATAGAGGCATATCATTAACATCCCCTTTAATTAAAATTATGCTCAAGATCCTCCAATCATGATTGCAGCAGTACATTGACTGGGAGCTGCCAGTGGTTCGGGCTGGATTCAGAAGAGGACGTGGAAAAAAAGGTTTTCATTGATGATGTCAGATGGACGTTGGCTAAAAGCAGAGAGTATCACCAAGAGGTTTACTTGTGTTCTATTGACAATGCAAAGGCACTCAACTATGATGATTATAATAGACTATGGGTGGCCTTGAGAAGAATAGGAATTCCAGAATACTTCATTCTGTTCATGCAAAACTTGTACATCGATCAAGAAGTAGTTATGTGAACAAGACATATACGTTCTGTCAAATAAGGGCATGCTGCATGGTTTAAAATCAAGAAAAGTGTGTATCAGGGTTTCACCCTCTCACCATATTTATTCAATGTGTATGCTGAGCAACTCATCAGAGAAGCTGGATTATGTGAAGAATGTGACATCAGGATTGGAGGAAGGCTATTAAAAATTGAGATATGCAAGATGACACAACTTTGCTTGCTGAAAGTGAGGAAGACTTGAAGTACTTGCTGATGGAAGAAGATCAAAGATTGTATCCTTCAATGTAGATACAACTCAATGTAAAGAAGACTTTGGTGGAGGAGTGGTTACATGTTGGGCTGCTAAGGGCAAGGTCAGCAGTTTGAAACTACCAGCTCCATGGAGGTAAGACAGGACTCTGTACTCCTGTAATGAGTTACTGTAACTCACTGAGGCCATTCTAACCTGCCCTGAAGGCTCACTATGAGTTGGCATGAACTCAATGGCAGTGAGTTTGGTTCTAGTTTGGCAAATAAAACCAAAATTATCCCTCAACCAATCACAAAACCCATCTAGACCAATGGGCTACATCATGATATATGGAGAAAAGATTGAAGTGGTCAAAGATTTTGTCTTGCTTGGATCCACAATCAGTGTTCATGGAAGCAGCAGTCAAAAGATCAGAAGATACATTGCATTGGGTAGATCTGCAGCACCCAACCTCTTTAAATAATGGAAAAGCAAGGAGGTTACTTTGAGGACTAATGTATGCCTGAACCAAGCCATGACTTTTCAGTGGTTTCACATGCATGTAAAAGTTGAACACTGAATAAGGAAAATCAAAGGAGAATTGATAAGTTTTAATTATGGTGCTGGTGAAGAATATTGAAAGTACCATGGACTACCAAGAGAACAAACAGATCTGTCTTACAAGAAGTGCAGGCAAAAATTCTCATTAAAGGAAGGGATAGAGAGACTTTGTCTCATGTATTTTGGGCCTATTTTCAGGAGAAACCAGTCCCTGGAGAAGGGCATCATGCTTGGTAAACTAGTGGGGCCGTGAAAAAGAGGAAAGCACTCAAAAAGATAGAGTCACACAGTAGCTTCAACAATGGACTCAAATATTAGGACAATTGTGAGGATGGTACAGGACCAGGCAAACCAAAATCCAACAAGCACCAACTGCCTAACTTTGGGATAAGGATCATCTGCTTCTTCTCCCAGTAGGGCATTTCAGCTTTAAGTTCAAAGGAGTATTTCAATTCCTTAGATCTGCTACAGGTGAGTTTAAGGTTAAGTCCAATTCAGTCCGTGGGGTTTCCAGTTCAATTCCTTCTGGTGTGGTCTATGTAAGGTGTTGTGCACCTCAAGAAAACAAAGTGTAAAGTCCC